GAGGTCCATCTAGCAGATGGCTCTATGAGAAGGCGTAAATACGATTGTCGTAAAGAGAACCTTATTCGTCTGGCATTTCGGATTCCTTCTCGAACCAATCATCAGAGGCAGTACCAGATAAGGGTAATCCATATACATGGATCCGTTTTTTATAGGATACAGTCACTATGGTTCCGCACGCCTATGACAATTAACGGCTTTATCCTTATCGAGGATAGTTGCCCGCTTATCCGATAATTGATCGATGGCTGATGATGGCCGCTCCATTCTCCCTTGTCTTTGTCTGTTAAGTATTTCTGCTTATTTTCATATATATATATATTACAAAGCGAGGTTCTGTGGGAACAGAATAACTTTTATTTTGTAAATTTTCCTCCAGCTCGTTTACAAAATACCGTGTAACAGTTGTGATACAGATTGTTGCAGCCACACCGGGAAATCTTTATCTGCCTGTACACATAAACGTCAGTTGGCGGTGAGGAGACGAGACAACTTATTCCAGGTTACCTTGCACACACTGGAAATGGGTCACATATTTGTATGGAAGAAAACCCAAATCATCGACGCCTGCTCAACTAGGAAAAGCCGCGGATTGCAAGAGAAATACACTTAGACGAGGCGTACACTAATATGCATATTGATTTGGATGCTAATTACAAATCACTCAGGGTCAGCAGAAGTGTAAACCGTCACTATCTAAAGATATGGCAAACACTCACTTTAAGAAACCCAAATATCTTAGATGTGCATCGGTGCTCCACCTATAATGGAAGCAGTACTGCCTGTTAGATTTAGATTATTCAAGACTTGTCTTAAAATTACAAATTGCCGTCTCCTGTCCATGCGGTGACTTTTTCCTGTCAATATTTAACGACGATATCAGTGTGAGGCAAATTCATATGGACTTGACTGCTTGAAAAAAATTATCCAAAGAACGTTTTCTGATTTCCAGTTTCATTTATTATCGTTGATGTGTTTATTTTAGGCAATCCCGCCGTTTTCACACATGTCCGGGGGATTTGATAGAACGTAAACATAGCCGATTGCACACATCCGGATAGTACGGGGCAGTTTCTTTAACGTAATCAGTTTTTATATTTATCTATCTGCTCTTCTCTTCACACCCGATATGAATCGCCCCTCTATTGATCTGCTTCTTCGTTAGCTCTGAGAAACTCTTAACCTGCTTCTTCTATATCAAGTACGTGATCAGGAATATCGCAAAGTAATGCTTTTTTAGTATCTGATGCCGTGGCGTTTAGTGTACTTAGCGCTTTTATCCTGGGAATGCCAGGCATATGCGATGCCAGTTTTGAACGTGGCTGAAGCTGCCAGTGGCTGCAAGCTCCGGCATCGTTATCAAGCTGCAGGCTACTCTGAACTCTTGTTGAGGTCAGTCGAATTCTTCTGGCAAACAAACTTTCTGTCGCTTCATCTGATTACTTAAAGTATTCTAACAACGAAGACCAAATGATCAATGCAGTGTGGCCGAAAGCACGCCTGAATGGACAGGCAGTGCGATTCTTGCTCAAATGTTGGCTACAAAATAGAGCCCGATAGTTTATTGGTTGGCAGGTGCGCTGCAGCCGTGTTACTCGAGTCGAAAACCGATGTGAGCACTCTGATAAGCTAATCGATCGGCTGTTCGGCTGGCTTGTGCTCGCGGTGGGTGGTACCTATGCCCGTGACCGGTTTAGGCGGACATACAAGTCATTCTTACTCGAATGTTCTTTCCAGCGAAAGTGGTATTCACTGCGTGCTCTACGGACTAGACGCAAAAGCGGCAACCCAACTGTGAATTACTTTGTGTAAACACTGTCGCACACTGTCTACGACACTCTCATCTGCAGCACAAAGCTTGCTTGAATGGCAAGATGACCGGAGGTTGGTCTTAATTCAGAGGCAGTGGCAGAAAATGTTGAATCGCCATGCACGACCTCATCCCGTGGTTTCTGTAACGATGGTTCGGGTAGCACTCGGAGACTGGGGGTGCTATAACAGATGTAGGAGCCGTTGCAGTCTTATAGTCAGCCCTGGGAAAACCGAAATTTCTCGTCAGTTGGAAACCTGCCAGCCTACGAATTTATGCCTCTCAGATTCAGTGTGCAGAGGAGGGCGTTCGTAAAGTAAACTTCCATCTCATGAAACGTCGACAAATATTCTAAAATAGGTTTTCGATTTGAAGCGATCATCTATGTGAGTATGTAACGTTGATTATTGAAGAGCCTTATCCAATTATATTTATGTCACGTAAGGATGCCGACTTTTGAACAATCTTCTTTCTGACCACCTCAAAAAAGTTTACTCTGTAAAAAATAGCTACTCAATTAGTAAGCACTTTTCTCATCGATTTTCAAAATATTTTATAGGAAGCATGGAAAAAACATTCTTCCTTGTGGCCATTTAGTAAACAAGTACGTTTTCTTAAATTTTTATGCTTGATGGAAATGTATCTTTCGGTTTTAAAAATGTTTCTACGTTGCCTTTAACGTTGATTCAAGGTTTGCAAGCAATATAGCAATATTCTGCATCTTTTTCAGCTAAGGAAAAGTACATATTCCCCTAAGGTATGAAGAATAAGCCACATAGTTTTCAAACCATTGTGCAATGGACGTGGATCATGTTGTATACTTTTTAGGCAACATTAATCAATTAACGTATACAATGTATTATGAATAAATATTTGACCGGCTTGAAAATACTCACAATCAAAACTTTTAAAAACCGGAAGAAGCCATCTTTTCAAGTATGACAGTTGAAGGAATTGCTTTGCACGTTTTCTATGGAATACGTTTGGATTTATAAACAAAGTGAAGATCACCGAGAAAAGTGCATACTAATCTAGTAACCATTTTTAAGTAGTATGCATTTTGAAGGTGGTCATAAAGAAGCTTGCTTAAAAGCCGGCATCCTGTCATGACTGAAATATCCTGAAATTAGACTGTACAATAATCAGCATTAGAACCCTGCTTAAGTAATTGGTTCAGATCGAAAAAAATAGTTCGGAATTTCTGTTTACGTTTTATGAGATAGGGAAGCTACAGTATGCCGTAGGATGGATTGCCGAGTGTCCGCCGACTTCTCTTCCATACACCGGTCAAATTCTCGATTAGCTGACGAAACCATAAGGTGCACCATACAAGAACGCATGCTCAACTTGACAGATAGATAAAGGCGTGGTGAGAACCACCCTAACTCCGGTATGCTCACTTCCTACGCAAACTGCTGAGTGAGCGAGCCAAAGATTGATACAAATGCATCTATGTAAAGCCCTCTAACTGATATGTATTGCTGTTAGAGCCCAAGTGTCCAGCTTGACATAAATTTATTACAACGTCTACCTGGATTTTAAGTTGATACAAGAAGTCAACAGCGCCACCAACCTGCCCTACGAAAAGTATTTATCAGTCGAGAACTTATAAACAGGACCTGACACATTTTAATTCACTGTCTCCTACGAAACCTATACATCCAAGTATGTTAGCTAAATTTATCAGTGTGGGCTACTCACCTGAACAGGAGAAAACTGACGAAGAGGATAAGGCGAAAACCGAGTTTGTGAATCAACAGTCCCGAGAGAGGCATGAGCACGCCTTGAGAGGATAAAGAGGCCGCAGCAATCCACACAGCATGACTATTGTGTATTGATGGATCCACGTACTTGTGCAGGTAGGATATGATGTACGGTGAGATATTGCCTTCATTAAAAGCCGCATTTATTTTGGTACACATACTTACCTTGTGAGCCTATGTAGCCCAGAGTAAACATCATCAAGCATACACCCACCAGGGATGCCACGCGGGTCGCCAGGTGCATATGCTCGCTCCTCATCATTCAGCAGTTCGTGCAAAGTGAAATTGAAGCACAGTTAAATAGTTCTTTTTTCTGTAATCGTTAGGATTGGCTACATCACAGTGGCACAGTTACTGCGATCTTCTTTAAGGGTAAATTTTCTATTGGCTGGTGGAGTAGCGAGGTGATTCGGTTTGCTAAATGACGCACTTTCAAATCAAATTTACAATTTGAAGGATAAAATTGTTTCTTGGACATTTGTCCAGTTGGGCCTGTTAAAGGGATATTATTTTAACTTTTATATGTGAAGAAAGCAGAGTTCGAACGTATTTAACATATTTCTTTCCCCGCCAATAAATGGGCGTCAAGTATAAATGCAGTGTAAATGTAACCACAAAAAATACAAGCAGCAACCAGGCTGTTAGACTAAACAGTCCAAACATTTAATTCACGTCTATACATGTAGCGTTGACAAAGTTAAGCAATGGAAGTGAAATAAGTAATCGTCTCTCCGATTCTTCCAAAATATGCAGTCAAGAATACAGTTAGTTTCTGTCTCGTGAAAGGACAGCCGCAAATCTGGAATACCATTTCGGTTGGCAATATCGATTACCATGCAAGTTAATCTCAAAATGTTTCAGTCATATCAGAATGCCGGCATTTGAACGAGTTTCATTCTGACGACTAACAAGAACTTTATTCTGAAAAAAATTGGTTAGTTAATTAGTATGCCATCCTCTCATTGATTTTCACTGCCCTTAGATAGAAAACTCCATAAAATATCCTTTTTGGTACTCGTTTTTTATACTTGAAGAAATAATATCTTTCGATTGTAAACATTTTCTGTATATGATATTTTTACGGCCGGGAAATGTGCATTCATAAATCAACGTACTTTTCCATTTTATAATATTGCGTATTAATCATACATCTTGGTCCACATGCATAGATAAATTTTAAGATAACTATATGACTTCTTACTCACACCGTATGGAGCTATCCTGGGACGGAATGTATGCAGCATGTACTTTGGAGACCTTGACCTCAAGTGTAACGGCCGGTAGAATTCAATATATTTGGCAGTTAAGAAACGTTGTTTAAACGGAATAATATCCTTTCTTCAAACATAAAATGTTAAGAACGCGTAATTGGCTAACAAACGAGTATTAAAACGGATATTTTTATGCATTTGTTTCTATCACGTATATTTGGACTTATTAGGGCAGTGAAAATCAACGAGAAAAATGCCTAAAATGAGTGGCCTTTTTGCCAAATATACTTTTTGCTGGTGGTCAAAAGGAAGCTCATTAAAAAGCCGGCATAGTGATGTGACTTAAGTTTGTTGAGATTAAATTGCATGAGAATTAATATCAAAACCATATTTAATTAATATGTTCGAATCAAAAGCGCATTTCAGAACTTCGGCTGACATTTATTATCGTATATTGTAAAATCTTAACTGTTTTCGGAAGAATTCTATTTGTACTCACTTATACAATCCGTGGTTTCATAGTAGCCGAATAGGTCCATTTTATTCTTACCTCAGCATAAAGCCGAAAATGAAAGTCAGCATATGAATTAAATAACGCCTGACGACCTGCTCATACTTACTGTGAAAATGCAGTTCCAATGAGCATATTTATATTCCCGAGAGAGGGAGTCCTGTGTTTCAGACTAATGCGTTTGGACTTTAGACCTCTTTAGGGCGGGGTAAGCATGTTTACCATCTACTGGACCCCTTGGTAGTGATTGAGAGCTTAGCGTCTGACGAAGACCAGGTCCTCCACTGCATATGTTAACACTTCATTGATATTTGGAAGGTACACATGGAGAGGATTTCCCGGGGGGCAGACTACTGCTCAATAGTTTGTGGTGGACGATTAGCCAATTCCTGGTGTGTTTTCATCACAGTTTAATATCAGCGCACAGTCAATACAGGTCGAAGCTTTTAAGGCTCAGTGTACTTCCTTATGGTCAATTGAGATTCCTGTTAGAAACGCTATCCAAGGATCCATATCTAATGCTTAGAGATTGTTTTCCGATCCACGCCATTTAGCTCGCAATTCTACATTAGGAGCTCATGTGCCGGTAATACCCGACCTTTATTACAAATCGTCTCTATAGTCCTGTTGAAAAGGCAATTCTTTATAACGATAACATAGAATTTCACTATTTTATTGTTGTGCAGTTGAGCAAAGCAAACCTAAACGTGGTAGAAACCATAGACTACCTCTGTGGAATTATTCAGGACACAAACTACCAGATAGGTATACCCGTGAGAACCCTCAAAGAACTATTTAAGCGAAGCACGTAAAATGCACAATTTCTCTCCAATGGTTGATTTTTGAGAAAGATCGATGGTGTGGCGATGGGCTCACTACTTGGCCCGTTTCTCGCAAATGTCTTTATGGGCAAGATCAAGAAAACGAGTCTAAGGGACACCGTCAAGGACCTTGCATTTTACGGTCGATATGTGGATGACATCTTCTGTTTGAGAGACTATAATGCTGACACTGAGATTCTGGTGGCGAAGTTTGACAGCGCGCATCCATCCCTCAACTTTTCTGCAGTAACTGAGGTAGACGAGGAAATTGTGTTATTTTATGTCCTTCTTCGAAAGCAAGATGATTGATCTATCCCGCCTAGTGTATTCCGAAAGAAAACCTGCACGGAACAATACACCAACTTTCACAGTTTTGTCCCCCTAAATATGAACCAAAATCTAGTCTAGGCAGCCAGTCTAAGACAGATCTGTTCTCCTGAAACTGTCGAAGCAGAACTCCAACAGCCGCAGCACACACTTATTGAAAATGGATACCCGGAGAGGTATGTAGGCGAGGAGTAAAGACAAGTGCGCCAAAAAGCCTGAAATCTTAACCGCAGAAAAGAAAGACGTGTTCATAAGACTGCCTGTTTTAGACGATGCAACAAGCGAGCTGGTCAGACGGCGCCTGAGGACCGTAACCCCATGCACTTTCCCCGCGACAAAGTTACGGGTGTTCTTCATGAACTCACTCCTCCTTCGATTGGTAGGTAAAGACAGACTCCCTTTGAAGGTCATATCCATGTGCATTTACTCTTTTACTTGCTCCTGTGGAGCAGGATAGAGTGGCCGAACAACGAGGCGGTTGGAAAAGAGAGTACATGAGCACATACCGGCCTGGTTAAGTAAAGGTGAAACTAGGTCGATCTCGAGTTTTATTCTCGCACGTCTTGTCGATACGAATCATCGAGTCGACACGAACGAAGCCTTTTAGGCTGTCTACCGGACACCAGCTAACTTTTCCAAGGGCCTGCGCCAACGGGTGCTTGCAACAGCCGAAGTGGCTATACGACTAGCGAATCTAGTATTGTGTTGTCAGAAGGCGCCGACCCAAGCGCTTGCAATTCCGTGGCCGACCCCGACGAGAGATGGCAATCGCATTTCGCCCCCACCT